TGGAGACAATCCAATGTAGAGACTGACATTATCATGGAGACAATCCACTGTAGAGGCTGACATCACGGAGACAATCCACTGTAGAGGCTGACATTATCACGGAGACAATCCACTGTAGAGACCAACATCATCACGGAGACAATCCACTGTAGAGGCTGACATCATCACGGAGACAATCCACTGTAGAGGCTGACATCACGGAGACAATCCATTGTAGAGACTGACATTATCACGGAGACAATCCACTGGTGAGACCAACATCATCACGGAGACAATCCACTGGTGAGACTGACATCATCACGGAGACAATCCACTGTAGAGACTGACATTATCATGGAGACAATCCACTGGTGAGACTGACATCATCACGGAGACAATCCACTGTAGAGGCTGACATCATCACGGAGACAATCCACTGTAGAGACCAACATCATCACGGAGACAATCCACTGTGGAGACTGACATCATCACGGAGACAATCCACTGTGGAGACTGACATCATCACGGAGACAATCCACTGTAGAGGCTGACATCATCACGGAGACAATCCACTCTAGAGGCTGACATCATCACGGAGACAATCCACTGTAGAGGCTGACATCACGGAGACAATCCATTGTAGAGACTGACATTATCACGGAGACAATCCACTGGTGAGATCAACATCATCACGGAGACAATCCACTGGTGAGACTGACATCATCACGGAGACAATCCACTGTAGAGACTGACATTATCACGGAGACAATCCACTGTAGAGGCTGACTTATCACGGAGACAATCCACTGTAGAGGCTGACATCACGGAGACAATCCACTGTCGAGACCAACATCATCACGGAGACAATCCACTGTAGAGGCTGACATCACGGAGACAATCCACTGGTGAGACTGACATCATCACGGAGACAATCCACTGGTGAGACTCACATTATCACGGAGACAATCCACTGTCGAGACCAACATCATCACGGAGACAATCCACTGGTGAGACTGACATCATCACGGAGACAATCCACTGTAGAGGCTGACATCACGGAGACAATCCACTGTAGAGGCTGACATCACGGAGACAATCTACTGATGAGGTTGCTGTACTCTGTAAATATAAACTTGGTTATCCCTGCTGCTAATTCGACTTTGTTTACTCAGAAAATGTATGAAACATATTTAGCAGCATTTTCCGCTTTAGTCGTTGTTTGTTATACACAGATATATATTTAGACTGTGCTATTTCTGTAACAGGCGTGACTATAAATAGTTTACCGCCTGGTCTCCTGCCAGATGATTAATATAAAGACATGACCGGTCTGTCTATTTTTAGACGTTATATAAAATCAGTAACTACTGGGCCGCTATTCAAATAACATACGTCTGAACAGGTTTACCACCTCGGTTTTACCACGTTGGATGATAATGTTTCCGGAAAAAAGCCAACAAAGCTGTAGAGACAAAGAAAAAGTAGATCACCATAGCAAGTAATTGTGCACGTTAACATGGCGTCTCTAATTAATAAATGTACACATATTGGTCGACTTATGCGTTTTCTTGCTCGCTGCATTTAGTTTATAAATGGTTTGTCTAGGTTAGGGCAATTTAATCGAAATAAATCTTCCTGTTTCGTTTTTTAAAAATCTAGAAATCCAATATTATACGGCAGGTTCCTTTGTTCACTACCTATTGGATTCTTTTAAAAGATACCTTTCTTCGTCGTTCACAAAGCATAGGTATGACGTGACTTCGACGAAAAAATTTTGGAAGTATCAGGAAATCTGAGCCATTTTGCTGAACAAGCAATACCATCAAATTCGTGAACGTGGGCATGAACGCCAGCTCCTATGACAGGCTCTGTATCTTGGCATTCCACATCGACTCGTCTACTTCCTAGGTTTTATGTGCGTCGTTCCCAAAATAGCCCAAGATGCGTACACACGGCATACCGACAAGATACGCTGCACATGGTGATGGAACCCTTACAGGTGCAGATTGGGCGTGGGACTGAAGCAAATAACTTCGTTCCGATCGTTTCCAAATACAGCATCCCATCACTTATTTTCATCAGCCTGGACCGAAACACTGGTTTCATTACCAGAAAGATATCTTAACTAATAAAGTAGGTGTACATAATATCTACTCCATATTTTTAACGTGAGTTCCTAATGTTTTGTTAGAATTCAAGAACTGCCTACGCCATCATGGTTTCATGTACGTTATATCCTGAATGACGTCATATTACATACAATGCAGTGTTTGTTCATCAGTTATAACGTACACCAAAGTCCGTTACACCGTCATTATGTAGTATGTTGAGTACCATTCGTTATATTCTATGACGTAATCCCTCACACGGTGTAGTGTAATTACTAGCCAATTCTGATATATATACTTCCGACGTCATATCAAACATTGTGAAGCATACTTTATCTCCGATCGTTATATATACACTATGACGTCATACTATACATTGTGCAGTATAATTCATCATCAGTTGTTATACATACTCTATGACATCGTATCACACATTGTGCAGTAAATCCAATCTTCAATAGTTATTCAAAAGCTATGACGTCATGTCACATATTGTGCAATATAATCGATCGCCAATCATTTATATATATATATATATATATATATATATATATATGTGTGTGTGTGTGTGTGTGTGTGTGTGTGTGTGTGTGTGTGTGTGTGTGTGTGTGTGTGTGTGTGTGTGTGTGTGTGTGTGTGTGTGTGGGTGTGTGGGTGTGTATGTGTGTGTGTGTGTGTGTGTGTGCGCGCTATGACGTCATGTCACACATGGTGTAGTATAATTGATCGCTATTCATATGTTATAACGTAATGTCACCGATTGTGAAATATAATGGATCATCAATCGTTATATGTAAATTATGGCGTCATGTCACACATTGTGCAATATAATTGAGCACCAATCGTTATACATAAGCTATGACGCCATGTCACATACTGTGCAGTGTAATTGATCACCATTGTTATATAAAAGCTATGACGTCATGTCACATACTGTGCAGTGTAATTGATCACCATTGTTATATAAAAACTATGACATCATGTCACATACTGTGCAGTGTAATTGATCATCATTGTTATATAAACACTATGACGTCATGTCACATATTGTGCAGTGTAATTGATCATCATTGTTATATATAAGCTATGACGTCATGTCACATACTGTGCAGTGTAATTGATCATCATTGGTATATAAAATCTATGACGTCATGTCACATATTGTGCAGTGTAATTGATCATCATTGTTATATATAAGCTATGACGTCATGTCACAAACTGTGCAGTGTAATTGATCATCATTGGTATATATAAGCTATGACGCAATGTCACATACTGTGCAGTGTAATTGATCATCATTGGTATATAAAATCCATGACGTCATGTCACATATTGTGCAGTGTAATTGATCATCATTGTTATATAAAAGCTATGACGTCATGTCACATATTGTGCAGTGTAATTGATCATCATTGTTATATATAAGCTATGACGTCATGTCACAAACTGTGCAGTGTAATTGATCATCATTGGTATATATAAGCTATGACGCAATGTCACATACTGTGCAGTGTAATTGATCATCATTGGTATATAAAATCCATGACGTCATGTCACATATTGTGCAGTGTAATTGATCATCATTGTTATATAAAAGCTATGACGTCATGTCACATATTGTGCAGTGCAATTGATCATCATTGTTATATAAAAGCTATGACGTCATGTCATATTGTGCAGTGTAATTGATCATCATTGTTATATATAAGCTATGATGCCATGTCACATATTGTGCAGTGCCATTGACCATCATTGTTATATATCAGCTATGATGCAATGTCACATATTGTGCAGTGTAAGTGATCATCATTGTTATATAAAACCTATGACGTCATGTCACATATTGTGCTATTGCATTATCAGATGTCACGTCACGTTATGCAGTAAAACTGACCATTGTTAAACAGTACACGATACAGTCTATAACATCATAAATAAACCCATATTGCATTATTATAATAAAAAGTCGTTTGTATCCTAGGACCACCCTCTCACTGACGAGCTTCATCCTGCAACGTTATTTTTTCCGCACTGAAAAATTGTATTTCAAAATTTCAAGGGTTACAGAAATCTTACGAACCTTGTTTACCAAGTAAACAACAAAAACACGTGTGATTGTCAGAGGTCGCCGTGTTATATAGGATTGCAATTGTAATGCACCGTGTTGCTTTGGGTTATAAGGTATAACCTAAATCATCAGTAGTCAGGCTTGTGTATAGTTGACTCTGATTACGTGTGACCCCTGCATGCCGTCACACGGTCAAATTTTGGAACAATTATCTTTTAAAATGGACGCCTCCTTTTTCTTTTCCAGAATGGTGATTAAATCTATCGTGGCCTAATTTTTTCATAATTCCGCTCTTACTGCAGGTTAATATTAAGTAGGTATTAATGTCAGCGCCGTGACCCAAATAGATTCATCTTGTGATCCCGCTTCAGAAGTCATGAAATTGCCAAGCATTACATATTCGATCATATGATAATTACGTACTACTCTATTTATAGCGTTTGAGATTTCTGTGTATATGACTGATAAGCTGGTCACAATTCCAAGATTACTCAACTTCCCGGTGTACCACGCATAATTACATGTGAATTAGTCAATGTTTCCCGTACTGGGCGAGCCTGAACGCATACACCACCACACAACACATGACTCAGTCCATGTGAATGAACTATAGTAGGCTGCTATGACGACAGCTATGTTTTCCTTTATTTGGCGGGTCAAGCTATTTTTAGAGTATATTGTGTCGGGGAAAATTTTGTCCCAGTTAAAGCTTTGGGTTTTCATTGGGTATTTCTTGTTCTCACACTGACGTCAGGAAGACATACTGAAATCTGATTGGCTGGCGGATCAGACAGAGACGTCACGCATATCAAAACGGACTGATACAAAGAAAGCGAGTCATTAGCTTGGAGAAGTAGAAGGATAGGGCACGCAGGGACTTATTACCATTGTTTACATTGTTTACCGTTATACAACTGAACTACAGGAATTCAACTACACATCATCATGAATACTGAAGCACAGAGACTCATCACTGTGTCTTTGGGAAAAATACAGGCCTCGCGTTCCCAGCGAGGTGGTATAAACTTACATAAAAACTTACTCGTGGCGTGTGTGCTTCACAAGGCTAGGACGGCTTACATGATGGATAATTTACAAACTATGTTGATGAACAGAAAGGCTCAATCGGAATCAAAATATGCGGAAACACCTGTCACTCAGATAAGTACAAACAATTCCTCTCAAAATTATCCTTGTAGCACAAATACTACAAGCGTGGTTGTACGAGCCAGCCATGACGCGACCAAGAGGTCACGAGAGGAAACGGAGCAGACCACTGAAGCGTGCCGCGATCAGGACAAAGAAAACTCACCACCCAAACGCTTGAGGACTGAATCAAGTGATATCACTGAACAAAAACTGTCTTCAGATTCACAATGCTCAAAATCTACAGAAATGAAGAAATCGTGTAGTTTGGTGATCGTACGAACAAGCAACAATGCCGTGACCCCGATAAGTCAGTGTACGGAACAGCCAAAGGTCACAGATGCTTACGTCAACAGCCAGTCATGTGTGGGGTGTGTAAAACGTAGGCGTTTCAGCACGGACTCGTCAACAACGGATGAGGCGCACGAGGGTGTTAAACGTCCACGTATCGAACGGGTCATCGATTCCAGTGAGGATGTAACAGACTCGGACAGTGTGTTTCTTCCCGACCCCCCTAAGGACCTACACTCCAGGGGCGAGGCAGTGGAGTTGAGTAGGCCACAGCAGGACAATTTACATGCCGTGGTTCAACAGCATGTGCAGCCCGAATCAATTCAAATCACGAACCTTGTTACTATTTTTAATACAGGATTTGGTGGACTATGTGAAAAGAATTTATCAGAAAAGGATCAGATTGTGGACTGTAATAACAACGATTCCAAGGATAGGTTGGACACTGTGACATATTACAACAATGTGCACGGACACAAATTCTCCGTACTGGATAGTTGTAGTACTCAGATGATCGATTCTACAAAGGTTGATGCTGTTCCCATGCCAACGGCCATTGCTGTGTAATGGACCGAGAACTGTAAATTGTAGTTTCTATATTTAGTTGGGACAGGTGCCTAATTAGATAATGAAACAGTTAGATAGACCATATGGCCAGTATGTTGACAGTGCACTTTTTGAAACAATTACAATATTTTTAATATCTTTTGATGAGAAATACGTTCATTGAATGAACAATTAATTGCGTAATCAGGGATTGTGTACATAAACGTCATTGTCCACATTTCGACTATCCCAGTCGGCTTGTTGGATAATTGCCAAGGCTGTGACGTAATTGATCTCATGTTTATTTTAATTTTTAAAGGTCATTTGACAAAAGGGTCCGTCCACCTTAAGTCCTTGTTTATGAATCGGTGACTACATTGGGCACTATTCCAGATAAATGTACTACACAAACAGGATAGTGTATTGTGTCATTTTAGAAACTCTATCACGCGAAAACAACCCATGTGATCTTTGCCTCTGGTTATTTTATTTTTAATAACAATCTGGTATATTTTCAATTCCAAATTTGAAAAAAAAAAATCATGACCAATTAATCAGATCAAGTATGAAGTACAAAGTGTGTACTTGGGAGATTTTGTGTACTACGTCTACCACAGAAGTCGCAGTACGACCCGTGTACTAGATAACCCGACTGTGAAGGGAGCGTTATTTATTGGCTGGACCGGATGTGAATGTGGTGTGTTCGTGAGGCGTGTGGGTGGACTACAATGCTATTGTGTGAAAGAGTGTTTTAGAATGTACGGTCATTGTGAGAAAGTATTTAATATTTATGTCAAAACTGCAGCGATGCTGATATTTAAATGATGAAAAAATACAAGAAAATAAACATAAAAATATTTAAAATATTTTTGTACTTTGTGTTATTAATTTTGTTCTCGGATGTCATTATTATTGTAAAATCATACAAATCGGGGAAAAAAATCTTCACACTTGCATTTCAAAACTTTTCTATTGTCGAAGCTTGGAGTAAGACTGCCTCCATATATACTGGTAACCTCTACAGAAAAGCTACAAAATCGGGAAAAAATTATACATGTTAAGACTTTAGTTGACTGGATAAGGCAGTTGATGCCACTGGTCAGACAGATGTCGTATGTCCAAGCGACTGACTTGTGACGTTTAATGAGTCTAGTGACGTACGAGTACAAGTGACAAAAGAAAACCTCACTTGGAGTGTTACACGAGACTGGGAACAAATGGAACTGGCGCAAGAAGATCCGATGCATGCCAGTATTGCGACAAATACCTAGATGCTGGATGAGCACGTGACTTTGACAGATATGTGACTGACTTTGTGATACGATGTTGAAATGCCACCAAATGAATGATGTGAAGCACGTCGGTAAACTAAGCCGAGCGATAATTAACAAACGTCACGGGTATCTTGGATTTTCAGTAACATCTTAACAAAACCATGCATTACATACATGTTAAATTTTGGACGCAAGTACACCAATGGCGTCACATCCAAACGCCTTGAAATGACTTCGCAATCGTAAACAATGTGACTTTTTTGATGACGTCAAAAGACGTATACACATAGTGTTGACGATATCAACGCTTTGAGATATGACCCGAGAGGATATGTATGACGCCAGAAACCTACACCTTGTCACCTTCTTGTAGTGTTACATGTATATATCGCTGACACCAGTAGAATTTGTTTTTTCCCAGATGGAATAATTAATGTAAAAATTTCCAGTCTGCTCTCGAAGCCGGAAATGAAGCTGACCTTTCCAATTCAGCATGAAAACTTTAACCTTTTCAAATGTAGTTCATTGTCAGGAAAAAAAGATTATTGGAAGTTTTATTGTTCCTTATTTAACTCAACCGTTCTTATTACTGTGTTTTTTGCTAGACAATTCTCTTAAACATTCTTTAAGGGGTATCACCAAGGGTCGCCAATGCGTTTCCTCGGTATGACCGCGATATCTGATCTTCCAGGAAAGAAAAAAAGCAAGCTTTGTGTAAAGTGATTAGGAACTATCAACTTACATAGTTTATGTGAAGCATGCTACACCAGTGTAATTGTTAAATGATAGGTGTATCAACAATATACAACGATAATGGAATCTGACACACGTGATATATCTCATTAATATTTAATATAGGAGGGAAATACACTAAGGTAGACATCCATCAAGTACAAACGTGCCCTTGTATACACAAGAGGCATTCTCGGAATAGTTGCTCTGATAAGATTATCACGTGGTTTGTACATCAACCCGCAACAATGTGTTGTATTAGTAAGTAATAAATTTTACATTTGCATAAAACATTGGAGTTTGCACGCAATGACCGCGATGTTCATTGATCGTCCTATTTTTAATGGGTTTTTTAGGTTCACGGACGACAGGACGATCAAACGCACTAGGAAGGTCGAATTTTGACAATGTCAAATGGAATGTGAACATTATTTAGTACTGAAAAAAGGTTAAGGATATTGAATGATTTCTAATGAATGTTGATTTCTGATATCAGATATAAGGAAACAGTCTACAGTTTTATCATGGTGAAACATGACGAAAATGACATTTCTATAAAACACATGTGTACAACATTTACTGTTATCGTCTCAGTATTTTGCCACTACAAAGTAGCATATCCAAAGATAATGTAGCGATTTCGTACATTTCATTGGTAAAATGACAATGGCGAACGTCAGCTGTCACTAGCTTATCGTACCGATGACGCTTTAGTATTGGGAAATAGTACAGCGATAAAGCTGTACATCCTGGTCTCAATGGAAAGTCTTGTTTCTTCATAAATGTGGATTTATTCCCGGAACTTCCGGGTCATGTCATGCTTTGTATAATCAGCTAGTGATATAACAAGTTTACATTGGTGTTATAAATTGAATAAGACGTAAGTTTGTAATATACATCGGAGCAAAATGATAATGCAGAGGTCAACAGGCAACTTAATACCTGTCAGGTGACACGCGCTGTTTCCGTCGTAAGAAATAGGTCTTCTAAACACAACTGCACATTAACATTGCAGACGTTGAGAGAACAGACCGCCTTACTACCAACGGCTAATGGAAATTTCCGTTTAGTCGCGCGTTAGAGTGTCCGGCTAGAGACTGAAGGGTCGCTAGTTCGAACCCCAGTGGTGCTAGGGTATTGATATTACTTCTTCCTATTACATAATTTGTGTCGTTGGTCACTGTAATGATAGATGCCGAAGGAGAATGAGATGCTTCATTGGGCAAGTTGTTGTTGTCCTAGGGGTCGAATCGCAATATATATTTATGCTGATTATATATATATTATACCCAATGGCGGACGTGGGTTTTGTGTTTATTTATCATTCTTACTGAACCCTTACCCCTATACTAACTAGTGAGCCTCGCTCTGGTCAATCTGCATATGTTGATAACAACAGTAAACAAAACGATGTGCCTACCTGTGGAATTTATAAATAACTTATCGATCACATGTACTTGTCGTGGCCCCGTTGTACTTCCTATCCTACTACTGAACTGATCTACGTCATTGCTAGGTGTCGTTTGCATGATAAACTGACAAAAATCCGCCTATGACTAACATGAGCTTATCCGTCTGCAGGGCCCCTAAGGTGACTTTTTGACTTCTGAAATCGGATTAGTTATGATCCACCCAGATTGGGGTCAACCAGTATTTTGCTTTCAAACTTGCGTACCTGTACCTGGTTTCATAAGACAACTTATTGCATTTCATAATGCGCTGCCATGTTTCATAAGTTAGTGGGTTACTAAATAAAAACCACAGACATATTATATCTTATCTAGTCAGAACCTAAAGATACTCGTGCAAGATCTACAAAATAAAGGTTATATGTGTCTTCAGAGACATATAACTCAGGTTTGTGTGTCTCTAGTCAGACCCCGATTGTACCTAAGATATATATAACCGAAGTCATATGTGTCTTTAGCCAAACCCTAACGGTCTCTAGTCAGACCATAATGGTGCTGGATACATTTATAAAAAAGGGAACTATGTGTCTCTTTCCAGACTCTAACGGTACCATATATATATATAACCATGGTTTGTGTCCCTAACGGGGCCAGAGATATACATAACTATGGTTTGTGTGACTTTAGTCAGACCCTAACGGAACCAGAGACATATGTAACCAATTTTTTGTGTGTTTCTTTTCAAGCATAAACGATACCGGAGTGACAGAGACCTATAACACCATGGTTTGCGGGTCTCTTTTCAGACCCTAACGATACCATATATATATATATATATAATCATAATCAGAGTGTCTCGTCTGACCCCAACGGTACCACAGTGACAGAGACCTATATAGTCTCTTGTCAGACCACAAAGTCTCTTGTCAGACCACATCGACCAGAGGCAGAGACCTATATAGTCTCTTGTCAGACCACATCGGTACCAGAGTGACAGAGACCTATATAGTCTCTTGTCAGACCACATCGGTACCAGAGTGGCAGAGACCTATATAGTCTCTTGTCAGACCACATCGGTACCAGAGTGACAGAGACCTATATAGTCTCCTGTCAGACCACATCGGTACCAGAGTGGCAGAGACCTATATAGTCTCCTGTCAGACCACATCGGTACCAGAGTGGCAGAGACCTATATAGTCTCTTGTCAGACCACATCGGTACCAGAGTGGCAGAGACCTATATAGTCTCTTGTCAGACCACAACGGTACCAGAGTGGCAGAGACCTATATAACCAGGGTGTCTTTATATACTGTGTTTCCAGTCAGATCCAGAGAAGTGTCTTTGTCAGACATTAACTGTTCAGAGAAGGGATATTGCTTGAAGAGATGATTACCCTGGCCTTTTTTACGATGTTTTATGTTATTGTCTTCAGGAAAATCTTTGTTTAAGTGACATCACCCGTTCGGATCTCCTGGCCTTATTCACGATGTGTTATGTTGTAGTTTTCAAGTAATACTTTGTTTTAGTGGCATTTTATCAATATTGATATGACGTTTTACTACCAAGCCTACATATTACATATTTTGTCCTTCAGTTGTAATTTTGATAAATAATCCAACAGCAGATTTTAGATTCCCCGCTCACCAGTTGCCGAGAATATGCGTGTATAATTTCTTATAGTTTTGTGCAAAATAGTCGATTTTATAACCAGCGCATGTGGTGTTTGACGTCATCAAAACTGTTCTCAGACAAGAAAAAACAACAACAAAAAACAAAAACGTGTTTAATAAACAGAACGATTTGATCTCAATGTACATTCCCTAGACACACCCTGAATACGTATATACATTCGTTAGACACGTCATGTGTGTCCACTCGATATGCAAATCATGTGTGAATATACACTCATTAGGCACACTGTGTGTATGTGGTTAGACACAGCCTTGTACATATGTACACTCGTTAGACATACCGTGTGCGTATGCACACTCGCTAGACATCCAGAGTGTGTGTATGTACACTCACTAGAAACAACTTGAATGCGCATGTACACTCCTTAGACATATCGTGTGTCTCACGCTATGTGTATGAACACTCATTGAGCAAACCGTGTGTGTATGTGGACTCAGTAAGACACAACTTGTATATATGCACATTCGTTAGATACACTTTGTGTCGATGCGCACTGGTTAGACACATCATGCGTCTATGTACAATGGTTAGACACATCATGCGTCTATATACAATGATTAGACACATCATGCGTCTATATACACTGACTAGACACATATTGAGTATGTATGTTCATTAGATATGTTTATGTACACGCGTTAGACACACCATGTGTGTATTTGCACTCGTTAGACACATTTTGTGTGCATGTTAATTCGTTAGACACAATGAGTACACTATGATACACATGTTAGACGTCACATGATGATTTCATCTATG